TTAGGAATCAGTATTTCGTAGGCGGGTAGAGAAGTTTATCAAGGACAATACTAGAATCCTTAGGCGGTGATGCTGTCACTAGAGAAGACCACACCAGTCACAGGGCATGGATAGTAGGGAATAGAGATGAGCTAAAGTCTCTCTTTAGGGAAGTAGCAAACAGTCATCCCGGGAGATCTCCTCCAGGGACCAAGTGGCGCTCCATTACAAACCAGCATTTAGAGGAGTCTGCCATAAGCCAGGATTTCAGTTGGGTCAGCAGAGTCGCTCTGTAGTAATCCTTAATAGGGGTAGGCCCACTCGAACCACCCCCAGTGACCTATGGCGGGACAGGATTCTAGTCTGGATTCTGGGTTTTTTCCCATTCCAAACAAAGGAAGTAAGTGGGAAGTGGCATAGGCAATGTCCGAAAATAGTATAAGATTTTAGGGAGAATTGTCATTTTAAATGCAGCAATTCTGCCCACCCAAGACAGTTAAAATTTTCTTATATCATTCAACATAGTTTTAAGAGAAGTTAAGAAGGGCTCATAGTTTCACTTGTAGAGAGAGGACAGGGGTGGGGTAAATTTTATGCCACGATAAGTAATAAAGCCCGGGGGACCATTTAAATAGAAAAAGTAGCTGCAGTCGTTCTTGGAGCGTATCATCAACACCCACATTTAGGATATAGGACTTGTCCACGTTAACCTTATAATAAGAAACGTCCCCAAATAGAGAGAGTATACTGGTCACTTCAGTTAAGGATTGTTCTGGTTTGGTCAGCGCCAGGATTATATAATCAGCAAACAACCTTATAGTATAGATTGCGTTGCCCAAAGGGATACCTGATATGAGAGGGTTATCCCTGATCGCGGCGGCCAAAGGTTACATCATCATGGCAAATATGGACAGGGATAATGGACACCCCTGCCTTGTCCCATTTGAAATAGCGAAAGGAGCCGATAGCATGTCAGATACGTACACCCGAGCACATGGTTTATGATAGAGTGCCATAATTGCGGCCAAGAACCTCATCCTAGTCCAAATCTCTGCAGGGTCATTTCCATATAGTCCCAATGGATCCGGTCGAACCCCCTCTCCGCATCCAAAGCTAGAAAAAGGGAAGGCATCCGACCGGTCTCCGCATGTCTAATAAGGTTTAGCATCTAGTAGCGCTTCGGAGCCTGTCTGCCCTTTATGAAACCAACTTGATCCGAGTGGATAATAGAAGGGAGAAGATGTAGTAACCGGTTGGCAAGGATCATGGCATAAATCTTAATGTCAGTATTAATTAGTGATATCGGCCTAAAATTTTCCGGTGATGTCAATGTTTTCCCCAGTTTCGCTACAGCAACTATCACTGCTCTTAGCATATCGGGAGGGAGGGAACCAGAGACTGCAGCAGATTCAAAGATATGTAGAAGATGAGGGGTCAGGATATCTCGAAAGGTCTTATAATACTCTGCCAAGAAGCCATCTTCTCCAGGGGTTTTACTAGAAGGCAGAACACTAATCACCTTCTTCTTTATTTCAATTTCCGTAAAAGGAGCTTTTAAAGTCACCTGGTCCTCAAGATCTAATTTAGGTAGTTTAACAGAGTCTAGAAATTCAGCAATCGATGATGAGGAAGGTTGAGTCAAGAGGGAATCGCCACGTAGATTGTAAAGGGTATCATAGTATGAGCCAAAGGCATCCGCTATTTCTCTAGGGTTGCGCAATGGGACGTTAGTTATAGGACGATAAAGCAGAGGTATTTTCGTTTGCTGTTGTTTCCGTTTGAGTTGGGCAGCTAGCAATTTACTTGCTCTATTCCCTTGGTCATCTTGCCTGGCCGGATCACCGACCATAGAGAAGAAGCCGGTCAATTTGCTGGGACCGCGCTTCTTCGTTTTTCTCCCCATAGCAGCGGCCAGAGATCTGGGATCGATTGCTGCCTGTGGGGGTCGGATGCCAGTGCTCAGTCGCCGCTAATGCTGCTGGGTCTGCTCTGTGACTTCAGAGCCTCTCTACTATGCGGCCATCTTCCCCCGCGTCAGGCCACACCCTCCCATCGAAATAATAATTTCAGTAAGGCCCCATTCACACTGAGCGATATTGAGCAACGTGTCGCGCGACATGGCGCAACTTTTTCCTATTGGGCTGTATGCAATCAGGAGCAATATCGCTCGAAAAAAGGGTCATGTAGGAGCGACAAGCTACCAGCGACGAGCTACAAGCGATATTGAGAGGCGAGATGTGAACAGCTCCATTTGAAATGGATTGGAGAAGCTACATAGAGCGTTATCGCGTGGAAATATGAGCGATATCGCTGCAAAAATCGCTCGATAAATCGCTCAGTGTGAATGGGGCCTAACTGTAGTTTCAAAAATTCTATAAGTGCCTTTGCCAATATTCTTCATAATGCAACACTAATAGTGTAAGGGTTTGGTATAGTCTAGTATAGTATGAGCAGAAAGCAATTGATCTCTCACCTATACTGATCACCAATTAGGTATAATTTATTTTAGCAGGGGTTCCCCAAGACCTAAAAAAAAAAAAAAAAGTATTTTCAGGGGTGAACAAGTTTAAGAAAGCCTTATCTAGTATCTTATTTGTGTTGAAAAGCAGTGATGAAAATGCAACAACTGCTATAGTAACTATATTCATTAAACAAAGAAGTAACTGACTGTTAAAAAAAAAAAAAGGAAAATGCATTTGTAAAGGGGCAAATTTAAGCAATGTTCTTAAAGAATACAGGTCATACAATCAAACTGATAACCCAATGCTTAAGAAGTCAGTAGAGAAGAAGAAGAATACAAATTAAAATAACACTTCTATCTTTAGAGGCTATGATCTTCGTCTTCTGTTCTGGAAGCTTTAAAGAAATCAGACTGACCATTAATCCAATCTATGATATAAGCACCAACAAGTTTTAGTCATAAACAACTTAATTTTTCCTAATACATTTTCAAAGAGCATACAACATGTTCTTAAACATTTCTTGTTTTAACAGTGCACTATTCACTGACACCAAAAATTAATGAGCGCATTCAAATTAATACCATGAGGAATTGTTTTGTTATGGTATACCATTAATTCATTAATTTATCTACCGTATATACTCGAGTATAAGCCGTCCCGAATATAAGCCGAGGTACCTAATTTTACCAAAAAAAAACTGGGAAAAAGTATTGACCCGAATATAAGCCGAGGGTGGGAAATGAGGCAGCTACTGGTAGATAGATACCAATAAAATTACATTAATATTTATTTAAAAGAAAAATAACCTAGCTCTGTAAGTGGAAAAATCATTTTTTTTTAGCATATCTGAAAAATTTAATTCACCATGATTACAATGAGCAGCTCAAAATAATTCCTTTAATACAGTAGCATTTGTTCACAAGAATGTTATACTTATACCATAATGAATAAACGTAAAACTTCTTCATAATTGTTTTTACTGGGGAAACAAACAAATCAGAGTAAATACATCAATGTACTATTTGCATATACTTTACATTCTTAAAGTTCCTTCATTAACTTAACAATTACCTCACAATTTACACTTCAACACTTTACAATGCATCATGTGTTAAAGAAGGGGGGTTAGTATTCAGGGTCCTGTCACTGTATCCAATTTCAGCCTGCCCCTATAAGTCTTGAAAGTATTTGGGTAATACCTCTCATGTTCTTTTCAGGAAATAGGGTCCAATTTTCCCTTCTGGTGGTAAAAAACAATAACATTGCGTGCCTTAGTTGCATTTCTCAAAGGAATCAACCACTCCTATTCTGAAGTTATAAGTATAGGTTAATTCTATACTACATCGATTTACAGAGACAAGCACAGCACAAGCTGGAAAATCACAGTAAGCTGAATTTTAGCTTACTAGTGCCGGCAGAAGTGACTTCCCACTTGTGATCTCCTGTTATGTGCTGTAGCGATGTCTGTAGATTTCCCCTTTCCGGCTTCGAAGGACCAAAATTGACGACAAAACCCAAACTTAGGGGTTTCAATAACGTTGACTGTTGAGGCCATATTAAAAAGTAAATGTATTTATTGTCCATGCATGCATGGAGAGCAATACCATACAGAGTACTGGGATCAACATTGCTCTGACAGGCTGGGGTCATTACACAAATTATATGTTTGAGCAGCATGGGAACTTGATTATCTATGTCCTTTTAAGTGTAAATCTTCTTTCTGATGGAATCCGCAGAGGTGACAACCAATGTTGTTTACGGTTGTTCTAAAAGGACATCTGTTGTACACAGGAACCAATTTCCTTGTAAATAAAGTTAGAGGCATTCTCGGGTAGGCATCACATAAGGTAAATGCAGAATGTTAGACAATACATGATTAAAACAAAATATGTTATAAATAATAAATAAATAAATATAAATCTTTATACTCGTATATGGTAATAATGTGAGACATATGCACATTAAATGAAAACTACTGCATGAACTTTTAGCTCCGTTCTGCTATCCTAATTCACAAACTGTTGCTACTAACAATGGACATTGTTTTACATTTACCTGCAGAATTTTTCATTCGATAACTGGCTGCTCCACTCATCTTCAGCATTATTGTATGAACTTATATGTGCTGGCTTTATTACATCTTTATACTCTGCATATGGGCATGATGTGAAACATATGCACATTATATAGAATGTTAATTTTGCATACAGTTGGTATGTTAGAACATGTTGAGAATGAATTATAACATACAGTATATAATAGTCACTAATCAATATTTTGTCAAATATAATACAGTGTTTTTGTGATTTTTTTAATGTATTTTGTATGAAAAAATAAATTCCTTGTAAGTAAAATATTACATATAGCTAATGGCAAACCAAGTTGCAGCTTAAATTGCTCTTAAATTCCCATGAGCATTAGATTTTGTGTGTTATTGATGTATTTGGATATTTATACCCACATTTTTAAAAACAATAAGCTACGTCTCTCACCATATGCCATTTCTAATAGCATTTATAATTACAGGCCAGTTAAATAATGTTGCTCTTTCTTTACAAGCCCAGCTTCTAGTGGAAACTGACACATTTGGCAGTCAAGTCCGGATAAAAGGAAGAGAGACAGAATTTTACCTTTGTATGAATAGAAAAGGAAAGATTGTTGGAAAGGTAAGTCATTTGTTCAGTTACTTTATCAGATATGTAAAAATGGTTTAGCTTGATGGCATACATCATAACGCTAATAATCTGTGGTAACAATTTCTAGGCCATCCTCAAATGAAAGAAGCTAGATTCTTCTGGGCCATAATGCTAAATTTGTACCATGGCCCCATAATAACTTTGTAGTATAATTGTAGAAATTGCCCCCTTTATACACATGGGGTATGTATTTAGTACAGGTATTTATATAGTGCCCACAATTTATGCAGTGCTTTACATACTTCACATTTATAAATGTTTTTCAAATGAGACAACTTTCACCCAGCATTCACATATTTTCTGAACAAATCCAATTAGAAAAACATGTAAATCCTGGTCAAAAGTTCTGTAAATCTTATGTGAAAATATTTATAAATAGACCCCTTAAATGACTCATACAATATAACAAACTTCTAAACATAAAGGAATATGAAAGAAACTTGGTCCCAGAACTACAGACCCAGTGGCAGTTGCTATCGCTTTGGCTTCGACTCTGCTATCTAATAATAATAAATAAATAATTTTTTGCATAAGGCTTTGATATTTGTAAATATTTGACTGACTCTAAAAAAAACTTCAGTATGCTGCTCCAATATTTTGTGTTTAAAAATAATGCATTTCTTGATCATTAAGGGACAAAGGATTCAGCTATTTTGAGACAATTGGGTTATACTGCCACCTTCAGGTGGAATTGGACACTGACAAACCAAAAAAACTGTTGGCCAGCCAGGTATAACCCCTCCCTTTTTCCAAGATATTTTGCTTTAACCAATATAAAGAGTTCAGCTCTTTATGCAACTATCCAGAATTGTGTTTCCTTGGCGATGCCTTGAACACTATACCAAGACCCCACTGGATTGAAGATTGTGGGGCTTTTCTGAAATGTGACCTTGGGGCACTGAGCTCTGCTTACGGTGCTTTACATACATTATTGTACTGTGTTAGTTTGCCGCAGATGCTTTCCAGGTCCACTTTCATGGCACAGCCTCTGGTGTGACCCAGTCTCTGCAGACACACTTTGTAAATATGCCCATGAATGTAGCATAGATGATTTTGAATGTCATCTTTAGGTACTGGCCTCTGCTTTTGGTGCTTTCCAGACTTTTGTGTAATGTCTTAGCTGCAGAGTGCTCTTCAAGTCCAGGACTGTGGTACGCCTCTGAGGACTGTTTTATTATATGTCTGAGCATTGGGAGCTACTACATTACTGGTACTGAACAACACCACCTTTATCCCCTGTTGTATTCAAAACTGGAACAGCCCTCGGCTTCTCCGGTACATTCCTTAACCTGATCTGTATGGACTTGACAAATTCTGATATGTTATTGACTCCTCCAAAACATTTTACTGACCAATTTTCATTTGAAGAAGTTTTTTTTTATTAAGCAGTAGGCTGTCCCCACTGTGGATCAAGCTATATCTTACCATAATAAAAAACTCTGATCATACCTGTTAAGGAGGCACATGTGTATAAGGATCCTGTTGACAAATGTCTTTAAGCCTTTTCTTATTCATTGTTTTTCCTAGCAGGCCCTGCTAGGCAACCCACCATAGCCATGATGTCTATTTGTTAAACCTTAGGGAAATTAACTTGTGCCTACAGCCCTGCAGTATTGCATAATTGAGTTGGTAGATATTGTCTGTCTTATTTCACAAATTTCATCTCCTGTCTGAATATACAGAGAACTCTTTGGTTAAAATGTTGGTCTGTGGAACAGCAATGTAAAAAAAACATTTGCTGCACATGCCTTTTGATGGCAAATGTCTCTTTGGTACATCTTAAGACAACCTCATAAAGAATGTTACTGTTGGCAAAAGTACTCATTTGTTCCAGCAGAAGAAGCCTAAGCCTCAATCTGGGAAGGCTCCCACCTCCTGAAGCCAAGAAGAGTTCCTTTATTTTCTCTCAGGCTTCAACCTCCAAGGCCAAACCCAAACCACGGGACCAGTTCAATCCGCAGACCTTAGGCATCGACACCAGATTCAAAACTTTCAGACAAGTACTCATCAGCAAATAGGAATTCCATCACATTTAAAAGTGCAGGGAACTTGCATTGGGCTTTGTTACAGCTTCCTAGATGAGTAGGAAAAACTCTGTCCATGGGCTATAAGCTAGATTTTTTGTCTTTGCACAAACTAGCAGACGTCAGTGCTGCCCTGGGAGATCTTTTGAGCCATGAGGTTTTTTGCACTGTTCCAAGGGCAGAAAAGTTTCAGATTTTTAATCTGCCCTATTCAGACCTTAATGGCCTGAATGTCTTCACTTGATTCCAAAAATTCTGCATGGATTCCACCAGGTCAGACATAGCCTCCCTCGATCATGGAACATTTCTAGCCTCTGTGGACATCAAGGTTGCATATTTGCTTGTGCAGTACACCACTGTTACCTCCATTTTGCTCAGGGCACACAACACTACCAGTTTGTTGCCTTAACATTAGGTGTCTTTCTGCACCTCAAGTTTCTAACCAAAGTGCTAGCCCCTGTTTTTGTTTTGCTATGCTCCCAGGGCATTCCCATTATGAGATATCTGAATGATTTCCTATTGAGTAGATAGTTGACACAAATTCAGATCCTAAACCTTCAGAAATTAGTACTGGAGCCGACACATCACTTTGAGTATCTGGGCCTCTTCCTAGATTAGGCTCAAGACAGAGTTTCAGTCATGAAAAAAACTTCACTCTTAACTCCCAGACTTAGGGGGTGATTTACTAACCTAAACACATGCACGCACCAGGTGCATGTGATTTTCACACAGCAAAACGTATTTATCAACCAAAAAGTCTCTAAAAGCATATTTCCACTAATGCCATATATGGAAAAATCATGCACATGATGCATATATAATGCTGCTTCACAGTTTAGACAAAAATGGTTAGCTCATGCATTTACATTCCTGCATTCATCAACGCAAGCAACACAACATAGAGCTAATTTACACAACATCACCTTGCAATTCATGCTTGGCTTTGCACAACACACCTGCTGGGTGTGTACACACTACAAAGGTGTTTAGATTCCACCCATAGATCATGCTGGGAGGGAACACACTACAGAGGTGTATACATGTTCGTGGTGTGTTTATAAGGTTAGTAAATCAACCCCTTAGACTCTATAGTTCAGGAGCTGTCCAATTCTCCAATTCTGCATAAGAGCCCTGGGCCTGATGGCAGCCCTCTTTTATGCAATACCCGTCTGCTCCAGATCCCTACAACACAACATGCTGTCATCATAGACATGGACAAATAATTTCAGTCGCTAAACAAACCACTGGCCTGTCAATAAATACAAGCTTATATCTAGCCTGGTGGCTCCAGATCTGGGGAGGAGTCCTAAAAAATTTTTGGGGTGCAGGGAACTTGGTAACCAGAGGAATCTTACCTCTTGATTACCATTTTGGAGCTCTGAATTATTTGATTGTCCCTGCAACACTGGACACCTTGACTGGAGGGCCATCTGAGCAGAATCCTAACAGACAATGGCACAGTAGTGATGTACATCAATTGCTGTGGGAAAATAGGTAGAAAGGATTCTATCCTGGAGAGGTCTATACATTCCAGCCCTGTCCACCATTCACATTACAGGCATTGACATTTGGCAGGCAGACTTCCTCAGCCAGCAGTACCTGGATCCGAGGGAGGAAATGGTCTCTACATCTTAGTGTTTTAGATCCTGTGTTGCAGGTGGTAGATGCTGGATGGGGATTTTCTGCACTTTAAGTTCAACACCATTTTACACAGGTTTTTGCAGAGATCCTCTTGCAGAAGCATTGGAAGCTCTGGTGATTCTGTGGGATCAATACAACCTGGTCTACACCTTTCCACCTTTTAAACTATTAGCTTGTCTACTCTAAAGGATAGAGATGGAGAGCATTCTGGTGATCCTCATAACACGCAATGGGCTCTTCCAACCCGACCAGATCTCCTATCTCAAGGACAGATTTACCACCCTTCTTATGGTCACTGGCTCTGGTATTGAGAGACAGGAGTCTCTCTAATTTGGTAATTCACACGCAGAGTTAAAAGCTAGGACGTCTACCTCCCACAAGATCTACCATCACGCATGGAGCCTACATCTGTGCAAGAAAAGAAAGTTTCACCCCAGTAAATTTTCTGTGGGAAAAATCCTAAACTTTCTGCAAGCAGGTCTGGATTAGCATTTGGAATTGAGTGCCATCAAGGGGTATGTCTCTTTTTCCAAAGTCCCACTTATTGATTAAGATATTTGTACAGGGTGTCTTTCATGTAGCCCCTTCTGTATAACCACTTGTGACTCCATGGGATTTAAATTTGGTTTTGTCAGCTCTTCTAAAACTGCCCTTTCAGGGATATTCCCTGTGTCATTCTCACTGACAAATGTTCCTATAACCTCCAGTGAGGAATTTATCTGAGCTGGCAGACTTGTTCTGTAAAGAACCTTATTTAAGGTCAAAGAAGGACAAGGTCATATTTAGTCCTACAGCTTACTTCCTGGCTAGGAAGGTTTTGGCCTTTCACCTCAACAAAGACATTGTTTTTCTGTCTCTTTGTCTGGTTCCAGTACGTCAGAAGGAAAGGTTCCTTTCACTGCTTGGATGTAGTTCGTGCTGTTTACCTCTCAGCCACTGCTTCTATTAGAAGACTGACTCTCTTTGTCATTTTTGATGATCGCTGTAAGGGGGAACCAGCTTTCCCCATTTCTCAGTTGCTCAGACAGAGTCTAATAGCTGTAAAGTGACACTAAACTCAGGAGTTAAATCTTAAAAATGCGTTCAAGTACCTTAACTATTAACAAAAATGTAGCTTGTTTGTGTAACACTCGGCTATGAATAATCAAATCATTTCTGAATTTATGCTGACATTGTCCTTTCTTCTACTTTTGTTACCCATGGTCCCTGTGTGTGTTTTAAAGTAGCACAGCTACTGGGTGATCAATGTACATTGCAAGGATTTTAACAAAACTTTATTGCAGATTCTTACCTTCTGTTCTGAAG